TTTTTTACAACTTCCAGTTCAATTGACTTACTTTTTATCCATAATAGTACCACTTTCTTATGTAAATTTTATAAACGCAAACTCCAACGACTAAAAAACAGCAATAGAAGAATGAGCGATTAAAAAGTATTCACAGTCGCTAATTGAGCGACTAAGCGACACTCGCAATAGCATCGCTAATCGATAATCGCTTAATAGTCGTTTATCTACTGCCAGTCGACATTCGCAATAGGGGTGATTAAAATACACCAATTAGCTTCCCTTAAATTTATAGCTTATATTTGCCTACGTATTTTCACATCTTCGCGATACACTTTATTTATTTATTGTCATACCATACAACTGCACCCGGATATAGCTTATATTGGTAAATGCATGCGAATTTTCAAGCAAATTTTCACCACACACTTCCGCTATCAGATAATGAGCCTAACATCTTTTGTAGCTACTCACGTACATATGTACGTACATTTGGCTCATAACTTTATGCACTTACATAATTAAAATTATTTTATATATGTATTTATTTTTAATATATTCACTACACAACGAATTTATGCCGAAGCTTCGTTTCCGCGCGCGTTTTTGATTTTTCTCGCGAAGGAAGTGCGATATTTTTATCGATCGGGTGATCAGAACGACTCTGGCCCCTATTGCGAGTGTCGACTGGCAGTAGAATAGAAATTTGTCGATCGAGTCGATCATCTTTTATTTTGCTATTGTGTAACTTGATCGATAAAAATTTGTACTATTGTGAATGGTTGACAGAATTGTAAACAGCTGTTTGTTTGTTTACATTTGTTTCTTGAGTGTTTTATTTACATCATTTTTAAAATAATTGCTTTTATTATAAAACTAGCAATTACCCGGCGTGCTTCGCTGCGCCTTAAATGTATTTTTGTGTTGTAACTCTCCCCGTAAGCTCTTATGGCCTCATTTACAAAATATTTTTAAAGAACTTTATGAAGTTAGATTTAAAAAAAATCGATCTATGAAGCATTGTTTATTTTTTTTTTTGAGTTAATATATTTTCGAAGGTAATTAGAAAATATGTAAAGAACCGACTTTCTCTTGGAAATTTAATTTATAATCTTATAACTGGAGTCTACTATCGCACCCTTTCCTCAAACGTGTATTGATTCAATATTCAAATAACGTATATTTATATAATTTGAAAAAATCTCCCTACTATACAACAGAGCTGTAAAATGATTGAATCAACATAGTCTGCATTCACTCGGCATTCCTTTCAAAATGTTGATTGTTGGTTTGTATAAATAAAAACTTCGTTCCTGAGTGGCTTAAAATATTTGAAAACAAACAAACTGTGTTTTGTTATTGAATGCTAGATTGCCATTCAGTATAGAATGTGAATGTTCAGCAGCATTCGCACTCACACATGATTGTATATTTAGAATGAATGCACACTTTTTTTTACCATTCAGTACCAATAATTTGTTCCCAGGGTTGATATATTTTATACTTTAAAGTTTGAACATATCTGGAATTGAAACAAAAACAAATATTTTATTTCAAAGTATATGTACTTATGTATTGAAGTTTTCTGCCACTAACCCAAATTATTTATTCCAAAGCAACTTATCGCAACCGTAGAGCAAAACAGACACATCTTGATATGTATACATATACATCATCGATTGTAGACATTTTTTCGCAGAAGAATATACAAAATTGATTTATCACAATTACTTTTGTACTAAATATTTTTTTCACAGTATACAGTGATCCAGGTAGCCAAAACAAAAAATGTAAACATGCTTATTTGACATTTTGTTTGAATGTATTGGTTGATATTTTTTCACAGTTGTCGTTTTCGTTAACCCAAATGAAATCCAATTTAAATATTTTCTTATAGTGAAAAATATTTTCAAGTCACATAAAATAAAATAACGAGAAACACGAAATTCCAAGCAAATGAAACGTGAAGCTTTAGCAATTATGACCGGATGCAGTTCCTACATAAGTCAAACCGTGTTCTGAACACAACTTTGAGTGAATAATGGTGGGCTGACTTTGTAAAATGGTCCCATCGATTAAAAAGTACGAAGAAACTTGTATTAAGAATTTTTTAAATAAATAATAAAATGTATATATCTAAAGTTAGAAGTAGAAGCGCTTAAATTTGTTTACTTATTTTAACGTAGATATATAGGTATGTACATATGTAATAATTTCTGCACATACCTTTTATTGGTACATTGGTAATACTTATTTAGAAAGCTGACAATTTTCGAAACAGAGATGTAAAAATCGTTAATAATTAACATTTTTCATAATGACATTCTTGGCAGAAAAATATTTCTCTAATTAATATTTTCATTTATTATAAATATTTGTACAAATTTAGGTGAAACAAATTAATGATAACGCTCAATAAACTATTTTTCGTGTTGCAATTTTGAAATCTGCTCAATAAAATTCAACCTTGCGTATTTTTCAGTGGGTTTTGTGTATTTAGAATATTTATATCGATTGATTGGTACTGAATGAATGTGTGCACACATAGCAAAAGCTGCATTCATCTGAATGCTTATTCAGTGTTAAAAGTTAATGTTTCGTCATTCAGTTTTTTCAATCTTTCTTTGAATATGTTAATGTGTGCAATCGTATCTACTTTGAGTGAATGTAGAATTGGAAAATTATAAGCCACATTCCCCAACAAGGAAAAATTCAATGAAAACATAATAACATAAAATTGATGATTTTTAATTTCATATGATTTCACAGTTTTACAGCTCTGCTATACAAATATGTACAGCAATATTAACTAATATTTTCAAATGTTGTGAGAGGGAGTAACAAAATAAAATTACTTTTAAGGCGCAGCGAAGCACGCCGGGTATTCGCTAGTTAGTTAATATTGCTGTACATATTTGTATAGTAGGGAGATTTTTTCAAATTATATAAATATACGTTATTTGAATATTGAATTAATACACGTTTGAGGAAAGGGTGCGATAGTAGACTCTAGTTATAAGATTATAAATTAAATTGTTGTCAATGTTTTTTAATAATTGTAAACATTCGCCAGCTGTTTCTGTTTATTTATTAGTAAAAGGCAGGACTGCCAATCTTGCGGCAAAACAATAATAAAAATCCAAAAAAAACACGTAAAGCCAAACAGAATAAATTGCAAAACGTGCAATGATACACACATTAAATTTCTTATGTGCACCCTCCACACAGACCCCAATTACCCCTGAAAATTTCATTGAAATCGAGCAAGCCGTCTAGGAATGATAGAAATTTCTTATGTGCACCCTCCACACAGACCCCAATCACTTCTGAAAATTTCATTGAAATCGGGCAAGCCGTCTAGGAATGATAGAAATCTCTTATGTGCACCCTCCACACAGACCCCAATCACTTCTGAAAATTTCATTTTATGTGCACCCTCCACACAGACCCCAATCACCCCTGAAAATTTCATTGAAATCGGGCAAGCCGTCTAGGAATGATAGAAATCTCTTATGTGCACCCTCCACACAGACCCCAATCACTTCTGAAAATTTCATTTTATGTGCACCCTCCACACAGACCCCAATCACCCCTGAAAATTTCATTGAAATCGGGCAAGCCGTCTGGAATGATAGAAATCCGAAAAAAACACGTAAAGCCAAACAGAATTAATTTTTTTTGTTTTTGTTTTTGCAAAACGTGCAAAGATACACGCATGAAATTTCTTATGTGCACCCTCCACACAGACCCCAATCACTCCTGAAAATTTCATTGAAATCGGGCAAGCCGTCTAGGAATGATAGAAATCCGAAAAAAAAACGTAAAGCCAAACAGAATTAATTTTTTTTTGTTTTTGCAAAACGTGCAAAGATACACACATGAAATTTCTTATGTGCACCCTCCACACAGACCCCAATCACCCCTGAAAATTTCATTGAAATCGGGCAAGCCGTCTAGGAATGATAGAAATCCGAAAAAAACACGTAAAGCCAAACAGAATTAATTTTTTTGTTTTTGCAAAACGTGCAAACGTACACACATGAAATTTCTTATGTGCACCCTCCACACAGACCCCAATCACCCCTGAAAATTTATTTGATATCGGGCAAGCCGTCTAGGAGGAGTATGCGAACAGGAAGTTTTGCCACTTAATTTTATATATATAGATTTAAAAAATGGACACAGTTGAA